ACGTGCGACATAGATATAAACATAAACCGCGTTCATATAAAATCGTTTTCTATGATTTTTGAGAAATCTTAGAGTAAAGTCATCAATTAGAAATATTGTGAAGAATAATATTGTTGATGATTTGACACATTGTTTTAATAATTTATTATTATTTGACATTTGACATTATTTCTAAATTTAAATGTGTATTAAATTTTTTCGACACAATATTCAGACAAACCAATATGTCATATTATCTTCAAAAATATTTTTCTCTATAATTTTTATGATGGATGAATTATTATTCTAAAGTTACTTAAAAATAAAGACAATTATTTTGTGTGGATGYGTCCTGTCAATGTTGAGCGTGGATCAGACAGAAAACATTGTGCAGAGGACGCCACTGCCTTGTGTACACTCGCATAATATTATATTGTTTCTGTCTTACAACAATCTCATACAACACACCAAATGTGGGTTCGGAAGAACCGATTTAAAGTAGTAATCTTTAACGGTTGAGTGAACCSATTATTGTTATTATTATTTATTACCAACTGTTATCTAACTCAAAGGTAAGATTATTTATGTTTTTACATGAATTGTTTACGATATGCTTATTTTTAAACGAGTTAAACTCTTACTTGCTTAAAAATAAAAATATCATAAAAAACATGTGAAAACACTGACAATATATTTTTACCTATAAATTTAATAATAGGTTAATTCATTCTATTATTAAAGATTACTACTCAAAATTGAACTTCTGAACACAAATTATCGATGTCGTATGTTTATATAACGGAGGTAACAGACGACACACACTATCATATTAATACTACCTATTATTAATACTATATTAATAATATATTGGCTGTCCTATAAAYGAAAACTATAAATATATTGAAATAAAAAAGGCGGGTAAGTCGTGGATGTCGCTCTGCTGTACAGTAGGTTACAAGTTACTGTAATGGATGAAATTAAATTTGAATCCAATGATATTATATAATTGTATACGAAAAACGATTCTTAGCGAAGACGGTTTATCTGTCTAGGATATATTATAGATTAATAAAAATTTTCAAATCTTAGATTTAAAAAGAAAAATTTTTTATGAATTTCTAGCTTAAAATAATTTGTGTGATTTTTACGTATTTTGTCAAAATTCAAACTTTGAATAGGTACTTATAAAAAAAATTGTGACTTTGAATTTATTTTATTTTTCAACTGCTATTGTAACAATATGTTAAGAGCCTTGTTAAATTTTCAAGCTTTTTTGCCTAACAAATACATTTTTATCGATATTAATTTTAAAAAAACTAATAATGATCAAAAATTTCAAATGCCTACAAATAGTTCAACTTAAGTCGACATTTTTTGAAAATTGCATGATGGATAGAATATACTTATATAAACATTAGGTGCAAATTTCATGTATCTATGGTCATTTGTTTTAAAGTTACATAAAAACCCAAAATCGATTTTGTCGAAAAATGAGTGTGCGTAAATTTCCCGTTTATCCCTTAATTTTTAGTTTGTTTATCCCGATTATTTAGAAAAGTATTAAGAATTTTTTACTTTTGACCCCCACCCAAAGTACCAACTAGATTCACTTTCTGATCAAACGAGGTACCGAAGTCAAAAATCAAAGCATTTTTACTGCCCCAAAACATGATGATAGACACACAAAAAAAAAAAATAATAAACACATCATGGACTGAAATAATAGAAATTAATTGTATACACATAATATAATTATATTATATTATACTAAATTGATTTGATAAATGAAAATTTATTATTGTTAAATTGAATTTTAAATTTATAATTGCATGTAACTTTATTTCATGCGCATTTMTATGACATTCTTATTATAAGTTCATAATAAATCAATCAAAAACTAAAGTATATTATATTATTATATCTTTGTTGGTTGTGAGCAGGACCCATGGTACTTCTTAGTTCTTGCCCAGCGCTCATGCTAATAATTACTTCAGTATAATATAGTAGAACATTTTTTGAATACTAATTGTTATTTAAGAGGCGCCAGGATTTAGTTCATCTGTACCAGGGCCAAAATACTATGTGAGGTGCATAGTTCTGAATGTTGTTATTGCTATTATTATTGTTATTTGTTAATTGTTATACTAAGAATTTTCCGCGTGTGGTTGCGATTGGGTGTAAATTTAAATCTCGTTCACTTTTATACAATCACCATTCACCGAAGAAGAGCTACAATAACAAATTACTTTTCTAGAATTAAATAAACAATAAACATTTCCGTTTAAAAAAAGAATCATATTATTAGTACACGGTGACGAAGTTATTAAAAAACAATGTGAAACAATAACTCCGCAGTCGAGTGTGCTAGTTCATTTAAAATCGAATGATTTAATTTTTTTTTATCCGACAGGCACATGCAGCCCATTAGGTGGTTCGCAATTTTCGTTGACCACTCAAAACACGTGCTGTTGTCAACATGTGGTCAACAATTGCAAAATGATGATAGAAAACAACAACAATATGTGGCAACAAAACTCGTTCAAACACAATAGGGTAAGAATATAAATGTTAAGGAATTCGCTTAGGTAGATATATTAAAGTGACGTGGTTTTAGTTGTACGCAAAACATCAGTTAAGGTTTGGAGAAAATTAGTCAACAAGTGGTTGAGGAAGTGTGGAGGGTCAACTTCACACGCATGCATTTTTATTATTTGTTTATTAGTACAAATTAACGCCATTCGGCTTTTCAACATAAATTGCAACATCGGTGCATGATGTGGTGAGCTATGGGGAAAACGGTACTCTCCTGGTCATCCGAAAAAATAATAACTGAATATCTATAGGGGGTTGAAGTATAATATTTTACCTTGAATTAGATTAACTAATTAATTTTAGAGTTTACTATATTTTGTACTCATCGGTTAAAACTAAAAATCTTAATTTTACTGAATTTTTTACTAAAAACATTGTGTAGTTACGTACATTCCTGGATGTAGGTACCTTTTTTTTCCTGTTAAAAAACCAGGGTGGGAACTTGTTTATCATAATTTTTTCACCCGTTCCTGTATCGTTTATTCACCAACATAACAATTTATACAAAAATTGGGAGTCTCTAACCACTCAGAAAAGCTGGCCTTCAGCCCACAGACAACAACACTTTTTACTTTATCTATCCTCCACTTGCCTGCCTGACGCGCTCTKTAGCCTCCTTCTGCCCGAGTATCATCTCCACCAATCTGCCAAATTCTAGTCTCTGCTTTTCTTTGGAATCCTCAATTCATCATATTCTTGACATATCATCTGGAAGGAACTCCTACTCCGCCCGCAGAATGATATCAGGAACATCCTAGGGCCGTAGACGTTGACCGATGCATTGCTCCATTTCACTCAGTACGGACAATGGAACAGCGTTACTCCACTGACTCTTTTAGCTCCTCGTAGTGGAAGCAGTGGGGATCAGCTGCTCTCCCCCTTTTCCATAGGTACAGTTTGAAGCATTCATATCCCGACAGTGCACATCCSTGAATGTGTATACACCTATGTGTATAAATATTGTGTTAATAATAAAGATACTGATTTTAATATACACAAAAATAACTAATATAATTTTAAAACAATTTTAAATTGTTATTCCTAGCAAAATATGTTAAAACAGTACTAACTTGGTATACTATATAATTATTAAATAAAGGGGTAGGTATTTATGGATACAGGGATGGGTGGCAGTATTGTGATGAACAGGAAAAAAAGGTATATATAATATGTTAAATACAATTACCTATTATACGTTTAAAAATAACAAATTATAATATTTTTTTGTTATTATTATTATTTATTATTACAAAATTAATTTTAATTTCTTATTTTTAAAGTAGGACGATCTGTTTTATTTTATTATTTGTTACAATTTGAAATTAAATAGTCTTTTTTTATAGGGAACTCAYGGCATATGGGCCATTAGGTGTGGGATGGTACGGTAAGGGTTATTTTTGTGTATTTGTTTGAAGGTTTTTAAGTTGGTAGGGTTGTAACATGTATTTGTGTATGTGTGGCAAGGAGATTTTGCTAAAAATTCCAGGTGATCATCCATCCGGGAACTAGCAATTGCCAACTGCGGCCGGTACGTACGCTAAGTGCGTTTCCGTAGATTGAGCGTAAGCCTGCATGTCCCACCAAGCCTCGAAATTTAATAGAGATTATCAMTATTATATGTTTGTTATCTATGTCATACGAAATAAATAAATAAATTACTGATAGTTATTTAAATAATTATTTATTAATACAAAAGAAAATAAATATTTTAAAAATCTTTGCATGTTTTTCACCTTTTTACTTGAAAATCGCAACACGAATCTKCACGATTGTGTTCTAAAAAATATAGAAGTTTTCTTTTTATATACTTTCACTAAATTTTAGATTACACCAAAAAATATGAAAACAAGGTTGGTTTATTTATTCAAATTATAATTTTTGCAATTYCAAATGTTCTCGAAGCAATACTCCTGATTGTTAATAAATATAAATCTTAATAATAATCCTTATAAAAATTACATCTGTTAATAATAACAGCGTCGTTATACTTAATTTATTTGTTACTTTTCACAGAGCAATAATGGAGGGCCAAAAAATTCAAACGGAGAGCCATACGAAGACAGTGACGGTCTAACGTGGAGGAGGTTGCACATGAGCAGAGCAAAACTCAAAGCTACAGCTACCACATCTGAACTCTTATCTGGATTTGCAATGGTAATCATGGTTAATAATAAATAATAATGTTTATCGGAGCTGTTGACTTGTTTACATTTTACACACAGTACTTGCTTTATACTTTCGTTACATATTCGTTACACAAAATATCATACTCACACGTAGATAGCTCATTTTACATATCATAACAAATTCTATAATATTCGAACCGATAAAAATTAGGTATCTATTACTGTACGATCATTATATAATTATATCGTATATATGGTTATATGCTCGATAAATTAAATCCTAATTATAGCAGGTACCTAACCTAACCTATAGAGCGCTCGACAAATTTATCAAGGAAAATTTTTTTTTCTATTCATAGAAACGAGTGATTCAGTTTATGGTTTTTCGTGCACATAATAATAAAATTAGGTATTTATATAATATGTATTTTTCGGTGTTACAATATGTTAAAATTCTTGACTGCAATGCTATAACTGTTTTTTAATACGCTACACTRTACTTTGCTTAAATTTGTTGAAAGTACACCCAAGTACCTAAGTACGAGCTCAATTCCACAATAACATGTAATAAAAAATATGCGAGTTAAATTAACCATATAGATAATCATAAATAATCATAATAATCATCATCAATCTTTAGAGTTTGGATTTTATAGCACTTTTTAAGAGAACTTACCTATTGAAATGTTACACTATTATATATGGTATTACTTGATGACATTTTATGTCTGAGTGGGGCAATGAATATAATATTGTTTTCACAATAATTTGTGTTTTTAGATTCTGAGCGGAGCGATGAATGTATTGATTTTACCATGATGTGTGTTTTTTTTTTATTATTATTATTATTATTTTTTTTTTTGTGTCTGTCATCACGTTTTGGGGCAGTAAAAGTGCTTTGAAGATTTTTAATAATCTATAATATATCCTAGACAGATAAACTGTCTCCGCTCAGAATCGTTTTTCGTATACAATGATATAATATCAATGGATTCAAATTTAATTCCATCCATTAGGTACAGTAACCCACTTGTAACCTATTGTACAGCAGAGCGACATCCACGACTTACCCACTTTTTAATATTGCGTATGAAAACGCTTTATGTTGTAGAAAAAATAATTTGATTTTTGACTTTGAATGTGCAGGTTTCTGGTATTAATTGAATCTTATTTGTGTTTCGGAAAATTGGAAAAGGGCTCAGGAGCGTAATTAAGGGAAAAAAAACTTTTAATTTACTGCTAACATTTTATATTTGGTGAGGTAGGTTATTACTGTATAATGCTTACAAATTTTGCTAAAAACATATGATCCCCCCTCTCAAACTCAAATTCTTAATTAAGTCACTGAGAGGGATTAATATATTTAATAAATGTAAACAATTTTTWATGTTTTTCAAAATAATTGGGAATTACGAAAATAATAAAAACAACATATTATTTAATTAAGATATTTAACACAATTTTTTGTACAAACAACAACATATTATTATATWTTTTTATTTTTTTATTATTAAGACTCACCGCAATATGGGCCATTGAATTTAAAAACGGTTTAATTATACATGTATTTTTTCTTTATAAAACAATATAATATATTATATTACTTCCACTTCAAAACTATAATATATTCCTCGACTCTTTAAGCACTCTCAGCATAGCATCTACAATATACGAAGTGGTATTCCAAACCAATGACATCACCACCAATATCATAAACCAAATAGAAAACTTAAACAACCAAAACAAAAACATACAACTCTTATGGGCACTGAGTCATTCCAAAATAAATGGAAACGAATTAACAGATCAAAAAACAAAAAACACATACAATTAATCATGCAAAATATATGGAAAAATTAAAACTACAAGAAAAAAAGAAACTATAATAAACCGCMAGAGTGTTGGCCATGTCTACCTAACACACGGGCACCTAATGAATAATCAACTATCAACAATATACACCTCATGCGGAGTGTGACTGAATGTAGAGCGAATGAAGAAGAAAGAAAAAAAACAAATGTCAACAAACCTATTTGAAATAATTGGACGCGACGCGATGGTCAGCTGATGGTTTCATCATATCATTCCTTAAATGCGCGCCGAAATGAAGTAATTTATTTAATGAAACTTATATTTAAAAAAYTTGTATGTTAAAATGGTAATCGAATTGTAATAATATATTTTAATATGTATTAAGCTAATCGTCCTTGGTGCCGACGCTCAAGATCAATAAAGAAAATTATTTATATATATATATATATATATATATATGTATATAATATATATTACTGTTAAAAATATTATCTATCAGTGAATTGTTTTAARATTACAAGTGTAATGCCCAAGTGTCTCTCTATCTCTCTTTCTTTGTTTTGGAGAAGTGAAAGTTTATAATATTTATATTGCCAATGTTATAATCGTTATAGTTATCACTTCTTCTTCTTCTTCTGCTGGCATTTATAACTCTTGAAGAGTTTTCACCGCCATCACGATCTGCCTCCATTCTTCCCTGTTATGAACTATTGTTCTCCACTCTCGCACTCCTATTTTCTTGAGATCTTCTTCCACTGTATTCAACCATCTCTTTCTAGGCCGTCCGCGAGGCCTCTTCTCTGTAGGTCTCCATTCCACCCCTACCCTAATCGTCTCTTCCTCATTTCTGCGCATTACGTGACCAAGCCTGGCCACTTATAAGTTATAGTTATCAGTTATCACTGATCAATGGATTTGAAAATTTACTTTTTCAAGTGACAACTTAATGTATGAACTATATTTGATTAATTTCGGGGAACTTAGGACCTGCACATTTATCTCATGGGTTATATTTTTAATTTTTTAATTCATATGTATGCGCTATATAGAAACGTATAATATTTGAACAAATGCAGTAATGTCTTGATGGTGATATCCCGCCCCTGTTACTTACGGCCAACGGGTCTGTGTCAAATAATTTTKCACGTCTTGGATCCTCTAATTTTAAATTTTAAATTTTAAATAATTATAATTATAATTCATACGCCAGTTCTATCCTTTCGTTGCACGYTGCAGGTGGCGATGGTGGAGTTGCAGATCAACGAACCGACCATGGTTCCTGAATGGTTGTTCATCATGTTCGCGGTGTGCACCACAGTGCTAGTGGCCGTRCACATATTCGCGTTGATGATCAGCACGTACCTGTTGCCCAACGTGGACGCCATCAGCAAGCTGCAGAGCACYAAGCTGATCCAGGAGTCGCCGCACGAGCGTATGCGCGGCTTCGTCGAGCTGGCTTGGGCGTTCTCCACCGTGCTCGGACTATTCCTATTCCTCGTCGAAGTGGCCATACTGTGCTGGGTCAAGTTCTGGGACCACTCGTTCCGGGCCGCCATGGCCGCCACCATAATCGTCATACCTGTGCTGGTAATATTCGTGTTCTTCGTGTTCCACTTCTACCGAAACCTGGTCGTGTACAAATGCGAGTCCACTGTGTCCGACATCAAGGAACTGGAGGCCATGAAGAAGAAACTGGACGTGGCTGGTACCACTAAAGTCGTCTGACCAGCGCCGCGGCCAATTGGTAGTTTTACGTAATGTTATTATTGTTGATGCAGGGCTCGTAAAAGTTGGCCCACAAAATAAAAAAATGCACATAAGTAATAAAAGCTACGTGCACTTGCTGTGCACTATAAAAAGTTTTGAAATATATGCATTTATATTCACAAAAAAAAAACTATATTCACTTGAATTAATATGCAGCGTGATAGAAAAAATCTAAAGYAAATATTCTAAAATAACAAGAAATATCCATTCGTTTTGAATGTCTTTATTTTATTTTTGTGATTCTAATCGTTTACATAATTTTTTCCGTAAATTAATGACATACTTATATACAGTAGTCATAATAGAAAAAAAAGAACATACACGAATGTAAAAATTCAATTTATACGAAATAAAATTATGTGGTAATAACCATGTAAATTTTTTTCTGCATTCTAAATCACCAAAATATGTGAAAATATACRCTGTTAGAATTTATATTTTTAATTCACTGTTATTATGAAACGAATATTTACCTCACTCAAAATGTTTTTTCTATATGTAGCAAAACAAAAATCGTGTAAATGTATGAACATACGAGCCTTGAGTATTATATTTTATGATGACTATCCGCAATAGTAATTTATTTTTCAAATATTATAATCGTTATTATTATTATTATTTCTATCACCATTATTATTATTATATACACATCATTCCGCGCAATATATAATATATATTTATGTATTACAAACGAAATATCGTACCTATATTATTGTTATACGTTAATTGTTAATACACGCGCACGTCCAGTTGAGAAAATGTACCAATATTTTATATATTATATAAATTATAATTACCATCAACGATGTAGTAAGATGACCCGGCAAGTTGAAAAATACAATTTTAAAAAAGACATTAAAATTTTAAGAAAAATATCTGAAATTTTTCGGTTGTTAACGTTTGACAGAAATATTATGTATCACGTCATAGTGTATAGTGATAATTTTGACTTGTAGTACTATTATAATGGTAATATTTTTATATTTATATCTTGCCCTATATTCACATCAATGTGTCTCCTAAATAAATTGACCTTTTTTTATTCACGAGGTATTGTTTCTCTGTCTATCGATTATGTGGGTTCTTTCAGAAAGCCGGACATGTATTTTTGYTTATATAATATGTTTAGCGAAAAAAAATAAAATGCCCTATCACCTGCAGTGGCGGCTACGCCTGAAAATGTAAAACATCAAGAAAACTTACTTTAAAAATATAAACCCACTCCCGCAGTTGTGTTATGTGAATACCAATAATGTGATGTATTTATATTATAATATACAGTGTAGTKTATAGTATGTATATACATTACTACGGGTCGTGACGGAGAGACAATATAATATCTAGCTTTATGTTCACTCGTCAAATTATTACATGATAAAGTGAAACCTCTAAATACCGGACACTCTGAAATTTGGTTTGCTACCCAGARGTTTCAGCATGTTTTTAGATTGTTTATACGAAATTATTATTTTTAGGTGAATCGGCCAATAAAAACCGGTCCCACGGACTACAACCAATTGTTACCAGTTTCCCCAATATTCGATGTCCGTGTCTTTTAATCTAACGCTTCCATCATATCTTTCCTTATTACATCCACACATAGCCAAGTGTGATCATCCAATCGGTCTTTTMTAGTTGGATTTTCTTCAACCAGTAAATTTTGGTATACATATGAGTGGATTTTGACTGCACGCCAAGCGCATCCAACCCAGTGAACTGTAATCTTTTGTTCCTTATCGCCGTTTCGAGTGTATTTTGGTTTACGAAAGACTCGAATGAGTGTTTTTAATTTATCATTCTTCCTTAATGTCCTCTCCTTAACCTACTCGTCATTTAGAGTGTCTTTTACAGGTTCATTAATCTTCCTTTTTTTTTTCTTTCCAAAATAAAGAGTTTTCTTTCATAATTTTCTCTTAACGTTGCCATGTCTTTGCAGCTACATGAATAATTACAGGACGCATCGATGTAATGTACGAATGTTACAATATATATGTATATGTATTTAAATGTAATATTGTAATGCGTTATCTGACCTACCCAATTTCAAATTTCAAAGCGTATAGACTATTGAATAGCTGTCACTGCACGTCACGGACCCATTACCTCGAAATTTGAAATCGTTATAACTTATAACTAACAAAAGATTGTACGACAATTATTATTGTTTATTGAAATTGTTGATAAAAAATAGTATTATATAATTATCATATGTATATAGTTAAATATTTTTAATATTAATATATTATATTCTAACTGTATGAATGAATTTTCTGATTTTTTTCAGAAATTTTATCAAATACTTTTCATCGCTATCGATTTTTGTGTAACTTTATAAACAATATAATATTTAAATTTGGATTACAGCTAAATTTTAAAATTATTTTCATGCTGTCGTTTATACAATCCTCTCATACTAATTTTTAATATTCCCTATAATAAATAGTATAATAGCTACTATAGGTATATCATTTTATCAAGAGACGCAGACGTAATATTAGCTAAAAGAGTTCCTTCCATTTTCATACAAGCCATAATAAACTATAATGTTATGTCTAAATAAACAAATAAAAATTGAAAGGARCAAAATTCAAATGCCTGCTTAAGTGCTGCGATGGCTGGAAAAATCATTTAAAATATATAGAAAACAAGTAGACAATCTCTGATTATATTTAATATCAAAATCACCTATAGGTAACATTGTAGTTGTCCGATTCTGAGTCAAAATACAACCAGCAGACATCTGTTTTATTTAAATCATTAAATACAAAATAAAGTGTTTTCAAACTTAAATACAATTGTTTAATTAAATTGAAATAATTGTGTTAAATATACTTAAATAAAAATATATAAGAAACTGTCAACTTTAGAAATTTAATTTCRATAGCTGAGAATCAACATTATAAGGATTTGTACTCATTTATTAGCATTCATTAATTTATTGTTATCGCGTACAGAAATAAATGATAATAACGAATTCTGTAAGTATTGAGAATTTCTTACAGTATTGTAAACAATTTTTATTTCTCCTGTATAATCTATGAAAATGGAGCAGTACAGTCTTTTTAATTATAGTGGTGCTAATTTTAATTGCACACACCCTTGATCAACATTATGTATAATCGGGGGCTTAAAAATAGAAGATATTTTCTAATACGAATTTCTCACACGTATATATCTATAGTAATATACGCTGAATATTGCTGATGAAGAAAAAGGTTTGAAACCTAATGCTAGCTGAAATATAACTAAATCTAAACAAATAATCACAGCGAACGTGCTGATATTGGTAGTATTTATATAAAATTACGCGTTTTTATTGTTGTCACTAATTCTAGATTCTAGTTCATTCGTTCCAATACTGTGACATTCGTTATGTGATCACACCAACTAATTTTCAATATTCTGCGATATATCCACATTTCTAACGCTTGGATTCGGTTGATCGAAACTTTGGATAAAGTCCAAGTCTCTACTCCATAAAAAAGTACGGTGAATACATAACAACGAATCATTCTTATTCGGAGATTCATACTTAGTTAATGGCTACAGAATATATTATATATATATTATACTGCACATTGGYCTGTCGTGCAGTCTTACAAAATATGATAAAACTCTGTGGTGTAAAACACTGTGCGGCACTCTGTACACAATACATTATAGGTACAGTATGACAATGTACGTACTACGCGTTATGAAACATTGTTGACTTAAGTACGTCAAATTATTTACACCCCAATTACAGGAGACAGTAATAATTGTAAAAGTATTTAAATTACCGAAAGCATCATGTACTAATGTTCTATATAATTTATATATACCTAGACATATAGGCAGGCCCCCACATCTTATTTTTGGCCCTGGTACAGAACTAAATCGGGGCCCCGAATATTTTTCTAATATATATTGAAGTAATTAACCTTCTGACACTCCCCCTCTTTTGTTATGGCCCTGAATATAAGTTATTCTATTATATTTTGTCTGCAGACCAATTGTACAGAGAGATAAGCCCAAGCATGGTCTCTCCCGTCGCTTAAAGATAAAATATTTATTTAAAATTCATAATATTTTTGTAATTTTAATACATATGTACTTAARGAAAATATTAAAATTGTGTGTTCTGTGATGATGGGTAAATGCTTGGTTTTATTTTATTTTGAAATATTGTGAAAGAGATTGTTTGAACATTTTGTTTTTTATCACTGGGACTTTGTCACCTTCACTTTAAAAATATTCTTACTTACCTATCTAATCTTACAGTTCTTAACAGATAATGCAYGCAATCGTTGTATATTGCATGTTGACATACGATTTAAAATAGATATATTTTGTTTATTTTTTCCCTTTAAAAAAAATTT